CCGACGGTACACCATAGGACACCGCGGGACACATCGGGACACCACATCGATCTCATTATCGATTTCACGATCAATTTCACTATCGATCTCACTCAACGGGACCACGGGGCACCTCAGGACACGTGTCGATCTCACTATCTATCTCACGATGGATCTCACTCAGCTGGACACCACGGGGCACCCCGGGACACTTCGGGGTACCACATCGATCTCAGTATCGATATCACTATCGATCTAATTCAACGAGACACCATGGGACAGTTGTCGATTTCACTATCGATCTCATTATCGGTCTCACTCAGCGGGACACCACGGGACACCTCGGGGCACCACATCGATCTCACGATCGATTTCACGACCGATCTCACTCAACGGGACACCACGGGACACCACGGGCCACCACGGGACACCACGGGACACCGCCCGGCCCAACTGGGACACCTCCCGGCCACCCGCGGACGGGAGACGGTTTTTCGCTCCTACTGACACCCGGGACACCCAGGACACCGCCCGGCCCAATTGGGACACCTCCCAGCCACCGGCGGACGGGAACGGACTTTCGCTCCTACGGCCTAGCTACAGGATGATCACGCGCAGCTTCGCCTCGCCCGCGCGCGCGACACGAACGCGAAATCGAAACCGATTTCCCGGTGGGGGTCTCCGTTTCACTGCGATCCCCCCCCCAACCTCCGATATATGCATTTGCCTATACGACCGCCCTGCGGGCGATAAGGAGGTCGGGGGGGGATTGAGATCGAATGCCCACCCTGAGTGGCCTCCAGCCTGTCATCATGATGTCATCTCTCTTTTTCTCTCTGTCTCTCTCTCTCTCGCCCTGTTTCTCTCTCTCTCTCTCTCGCCCTCTCTCTCTCTCCCTCTCTATCAGAGTCTCCCTCCACCACCATGTGATCGCGATGACGATGATATCCCAATAGCTACCTATCCGTCGACCGACCTATCGGTGAATCTCACTGTCGATTTCACTATCGACCGCAAAAGCACAATGAGAAAGCCCGCCGCAGGCGCCGAACAACGATTTGTTGTCGGTTAACCACAGGACAAACATCGGCACAACCACCAAGTATCCATCAGGACAATCACAAAACGACCACGAGACAACCATCGCATACTAGGTAATCTGTGTCTTTCTCTCTCTCTCTCTCGCTCTCTCTCTCTCTCTTTCCATCAGTCTCCCCCTCCACCACAATGGTGGCAGTGACGATGGGTGATGGGTGCGGTGGTGCTGACAGCATCGATGGTGGTGGCAACTATGATCCATGCATTTTTTTCGCTCCCCACTTGAGTCGCCACGGCGGCGGGGAGTGGCGGCGGGATGGATTGGATTAGTCAAGATGGATTGGATAATATCAGCTGGATTGGATAAGAAAACCCGCCGCAGGCGCCGACAAACATGAATTTATATATTGGGTTGGGTGGATTGGATTGGATGGCGTAGTATGGATTGGATAAGATAAGATGGGTTGGATTGGAAGAAATGGATTGGATAATATAAGATGGATTGGATTGGCCCGCCGCAGGCGCAGCAACAAATTAATTGATGGATTGGGTTGGGTGGATTGGATTGGGTGGGATATGATAAGATGGGACAAGATGGGTGGGATAATATAAGTTGGATTGAATTACACAAGATGGATTGGATAACATCAGCTGGATTGGATAAGAAAGCCCGCCGAAGGCGCCGAACAAAAATGAATTATGAAAGTAGCGACATGCGTTAGCGCTGGGACGCCCGGGACACCCGAGACACCTGGGACACCGCCCGGCCCAATTGGGACACCTCCCGGCCACCGGCGGACGGGAAACGGACTTTCGCTCCTACTGACACCTGGGACACCCAGGACACCGCCCAGCCCAACTGGGACACTTCCCAGCCACTGGCGGACGGGAACGGACTTTCGCTTGTATTTCGACTTAATTACAGGAGGATCACGCGCAGCTTCGCCTCGCCCGCGCGCGACACGAACACGAAACCGAAAATGAGTTCCTGGTGGGGGGTCGCCGTTTCACTGCGATCTCACCCCCCAACATCCGATATATGTATATATATATATATACCTATACGACTTCCCTACAGGCGATAATGAGTCAGTCACCTTGATCTCATCTCTCTCTTTCTCTCTGTGTCTCTCTCTCTGTCGCCCTCTCTCTCTTTTTCTCCCTCTCTATCAGAGTCTCCCTCCACCGCAATGATGATCGCGATGACGGTGATATCCCAGCGTCTACCTATCCGTCGACCGACCTATCGGTGAATCTCACTGTCGATCTCACTATCGACCGCAAAAGCAAAATGAGAAAGCCCGCCGCAGGCGCCAACAAAAGATTTGTTGTCGGAGAGCCACAGGACAACCATCGGCACAACCAAGAGACAACCATCATGCCAATCACAAAACAACCACGATGGATTGGACTGGACAATATGTATTGGATAAGATAAGCTGGATTGGATAAGAAAGCCCGCCGCAGGCGCCGACAAAAATGAACTGATACATTGGGTTGGGTGGATTGGATTGGATGGCATCACCTGGGACACCGCCCGACCCAACTGGGACACCTCCCGGCCACAGGCGGACGGGAACGGACTTTCGCTCACGCCCGGGACACCCGAGACATCTGGGACACCGCCCGGCCCAACTGGGACACTTCCAGCCACAGGCGGACGGGAACGGACTTTCGCTCCTACTTCGGCCTAGCTACAGGAGGATCACGCGCAGCTTCGCATCGCCCGCACGCGCGGCACGAACACGAAACCGAAACCGATTTCCCTGTGGGGGGTCTCCGTTTCACTACGATCTTACCCCCCAACCTCCGATAGAACATGATTTGGTCAAGCTAACGGTATCTTCAAGCAGATGTGCCGGACATGGGCTCGGGAACGCATCATCTATGACAATTGCGCCTTGAGCGAACTTCTGCACAATGTCGACTGCGTTTGGCTTCTGAAGGCGAACGCACGCCGTCCACCGCAACTGCTTACGTCATTTGTTGTAAATTCTTTCATATGTCGCCCCCGGGGTAGAGGAGGAGGAGGAGGAGGAGGAGGAGGAGGAGGAGGAGGAGGAGGAGGAGGAGGAGGAGAGGAGGAAGGAGAGAGGAGGAGGAGGAGGGGAGGAGGAGGGAGGAGGAGGAGAGGAGGAGGAGGAGGGAGGAGGAGGGAGGAGGAGAGGGAGGGAAGAAGAGGGGGAGGAGGAGGAGGAGGCGGCGGAGGCGAGGCGGAGGCGGAGGCGGAGGCGGAGGCGGAGGCGGAGCGGAGCGCGAGGCGGAGGCGGAGGCGGAGGCGGAGGCGGAGGGCGGAGGCGGAGGCGGAGGCGGAGGCGGAGGCGGCGGAGGAGGAGGAGGAGGAGGAGGAGGAGAGGAGGAGGAGGAGGAGGAGGAGGAGGAGGAGAGGAGGAGGAGGAGGAGGAGGAGGAGGAGGAGGAGGAGGAGGAGGAGGAGGGGGGAGCCCCCTCCCCCTCCAACTTATGGTGCTGGTGGCGGTGGTGGTGGTGGAAAACAGGCCCAGCAATCCTGCAGGATCCTCCCGGGTCCTGCAGGATCCTGCGCTGCTCGACGGGCCCAGATTGTGTGCACTGGCCCTGGCGCACGTATAGCTCCCCGGGGCGAATCGCGCAGGCGCGGGCGGCCGGGGGCCCGACGCCCCCCCCCCCTTCCGGTCCGCCGCCGACGGCCCCCGCAGTTCCCGTCTCCTGAGATCCTGGCGGCTCAATTTTTTCGGGCTGGGCGTTTTCGCATAACTTCGGGCCTTGGGACCCTCTCGGATCGATCCGGCTCGAGAAGTGGCGCAGAAAGGTAGGGTCTAGGGCTCAAGGCTCGATTTTTCGCGTCGTATTTTTTTGAGACGTCGGATTTCAGGGTCGCCCCGGTCGGAGGCTTTTTTTGGTAGGCGGATCTCTCAAGCTCTCCGCCGCCTCCGGCGGTGTGCGCTGCGAGCAGGAACGCAGCAAAGCCACAGGAGAGCGCGGCATGGACAGTGCAGCTCCGCGCGCGTGACAAATGTTATTGAGCAGGAACACGGCAAGGCCCCAGGAGAGCGAGGCATCGGCAGTGTAGCTCAACATTGACACGGTGGTGGCCAGGGAGCCCCCGCGACATGTCCACGAGCAGGGTTCGTGGGACAGGGCAGGGCTCGATCTCAACGGTGATTTGGCCATTTCGTGGGCCGTGTTTGTTTTGGTCCCGTCTCGCAGCAAGGGCGGGACGAAGACAGAGCGAAATAATAACAATGACACAACGAAAACGAGAAACACTGTGGTGTCGCCAGCCCTGGGGTCCATCCCCCAGCCCGACCTGAGGCCCTGGAACTCAGCCTGAGGCGCCCCAGCAGCCGCCGAAGTCACCCTTCTCGAGCCAGATCTCCTCCTCCTCCCCCTCCTCCTCTTCCTCCTCGTTCCCCTCCTCCTCTTCCTCCTCCTCCTCCTTCTCCTCCTCTTCGTCCTCTTCCTCCTCCACCTCTTCCTCCTCCTCCTCCTCCTTCTCCTTGTGGTCCTCCTCGATCCTCCTTCTCCTTGTGGTCCTCCTCCTTCTCCTTGTGGTCCTCCTCCTCCTCTTCCTCGATCCTTCTCGATCCTCCGTTCCCGCCCCGTCCCGCGCCCGCCCCGCCCCTCCCGTGCGGCCGCGGGGCCGGGCGAGCGGGCGGCCGCAGCAGGGTGGGGGCCCCGCGCCCCCCCGTTCCGCCCAGCCCCGCACCGCAAATCTCGCCGCCCCGTTGTCGTCGTCGTTGTCGTCGTCGTTATCGTCGTCGTCGTCGTCGTCGTCGTCGTCGTCGTCGTCGTCGTCGTCATCGTCGTCGTCGTCGTCGTCGTCGTCGTCGTCGTCGGGGTCGTCGGCGTCGTCGTCGTCGTCGAAGTCGTCGGCGTCGTCGTCGTCGTCATCATCGTCGGCGTCGTCGTCGTCGTTGACGGCGTCGTCGGCGTCGTCGGCGTCGGCGTCGTCGTCGTCGCCTGCGTCGGCGTCGTCGTCTGCGTCGGGCGGCGCCCGCTCAGGTCAGCCTGATGAGCTCCTTCGGCGCCTCCACGAGCGCCGGCCTCGGCCGCGCGCCTCCCTCGCGGAGGAAAAGTAGGAGGAGGAGGAACAAGAAGAAGAAGACGAATAATAATAATAGTAGTAATAATATTAATAAGACGACTAATACGATGAATAATAATAAGCATAATCATAAGAATAATAATAAGAATAGTAATAATAGTAAGAATAATAATACGAATAAGAATAATAAGAATGATACTAATATTTATAGTACTAAGAATAATAATACTAATAATAAGACGAATAATACGAAGAACACTACTAAGAATACTATTAGTGATACTAATAATATCAATGAGAAGAATCATACGAGTACGAATACTAATAATAATAATATTAATAATAATAGTAATAATACTACTAATAATAAAAATAATAATAAGAGTAATTAAAATAATCATAATAATATAAATAGTAATAAGAAGAATAAGCATACTAATACACAATAATAATAAGAAGAATGATAATAATAATAGTAATAAGAAGGATAATAATAGTAATAAATAATAATAATAGTAAGAAGAAGAAGGATAATAATAATAATAAGAAGAAGAGGAGGATGAGGAGGAGGTGGTGGAGGTGGAGGAGGAGGGAGGAGGGAAGAACGTCGCATTCGATCATCAGCACTTTCCTAACGAGGCGTCTAGTTGTCCGCAGCAGATCCTCACGTACATGCTCCTTCTTCTTGTACTATGCACGCAGGCGTTGTGGTGTGCACCAGCGCTGCGTTGTTGCACGCGGATGCTGTGGTGTAGACACGCTCTGTGGCGTGCACAGGCGCTGCGGTGCACGCAAGCATTGTGGTGTACACAGGCGCTGTGTTGCACATGGTAGCTGCGGTGTACATGTGTACACCGGCGCTGTAGTATAAGCAAGCACTGTGGTGTACACAGGCGCTGCGTTGCACACGGATGTTGCGGTGTACGCAGGCGCTGTGGTGTACGCGCGTTGTGGTGCACGCGAGCGTTGTGGTGTACACGGCGCAGTGGGGCATATCGCCACCTACTTGCTGCTCGCGTCGTCGTCGTCGTCGTCGTCGCTCGTTTCTCGTCGCTTGTCGCGTCGCGCGCGCGGGCGCGGCTGCGGTGCCGGAGCCACACGGCGAAGAACAACGTTACGTCATACCCCCCCTTGCCCCTCCCCCCCCCATGACGCCCGTCATCGCCGAACATAAAGAAACGCGCTCCTGGCGCTCCGTGGAGCCTTGGGGCCGGCTTTTTGGCAGTATCCTTGTTCGCCTTCTTCGGTTGGTTTTCCAGTTTTGGTGTCCCGCTCCCCCCGCCCCCCCGCCCGCCCCCGCTTCGATGCCCCCTGCGGCGTCTCATCATGGGCAGAGAACATATCCGTATCCGCGGCTTCGCGGCCCGGGTCCTTGGGCCGCGGGGCGTTTTTTGGCGGATGCCCCGCGCGGAACGTATCCGTGCGACCGCGTATCCGCGGGATCGCGCCCCGGAGTGCAGGCCGCGAGGGCGCGGGTACGGATACGTGCGCAGCTCGTGAAGGTCATCCCGCGTCCTGGTCTGCCAGCCGCAGGAGCCGAGGAAGAATGGCAGGAGCTGGATAGGCACAGACTATCGGAGGCCCGCGCGGATCTCTAAGGCCGGCGCTGGGTCCCCCCGGCGGCGCCTCTCGTGACCTCAACTCGGGGCCTCCTGTTATCCCCGTCTCCTCGGGGCTGGTTCTGCTGCTTGGGGTCGGCGACGCGCAACGAATTGGATCCTCCCTTCTTCCCCTGTCCTCCTTCCTGTGCATCCTTCTCTTCGTCCTCCTCCTTCCCTCCTGCCTCTGCCTCTTCCCTTCGCCCTTCTCTTACCTTGTCCCTCCTTTCTGCAGGCCTCTGCCTGCTCGAGCCTCAAAAATCCTCCCCCCTCCCTACGTCCTCCTTTTCTTCCTCGAACTGCTCCCTCTCAGATTCCAGCATCCCTCCCAGCATCCCTTACACTCGTCCCTTTCTGCGCGACATCCTCTTCATCGCCATCACCATCGCCATCACCGTCACCATCATCACCATCATCATCATCCTCACCATCATCATCAGCATCATCATTATCATCATCATCATCATTATCATCATCATCATCATCATCGTAATCTTACTCATCACCATAATCATAATCATCAGCATCAACACAATCTTCATCTTTATCATCATCATCAGCATCACCATCATCATTCCCATTGTCATCATGATCAGCAGCATCATCAGCATCATCAACATCATCAGCATCACCATCCATTATCACCACCACCGCCATTATCATGTTCATCATTAACACCACCACACTCATCATCATGTCATCCACCATCATTATCATGATCATCATTATCATCAGCACCACCATCATCGCCATCAGCATCACCATCATCATCAACACCACCACCATCACTATGCATCACCAGCAGCATCATCATCTTTATCCTCATCCTCACCATCATCGTGGTCGTCATCTGCATTATCATCACCACAGTCAGTACCACCATCACTACCACACTCATCCTCATGAGCATCACCACCACCATCACCATCATCATCATCACCACCATCGTTATCACCATCGTCACACCACCATCATCATTACCACCATCACCATCGTCACCATCATCATTGTCATCACCAGCATCTCCATGATTATCATAACCATCATCATCACCCTCATCACCACCACCATCATCATCATCACCATCATCATCATAATCATTAGTATCATCATCATCATCATCGGCAGCACCACCATCATCATCACCATCACCATTACCATCACTATCACCATCATCGTCATCATCATCAGTGCATCAGCACCATCGGTATCATCATCATCATCATCATCATCATCATCATCATCATCATGCTCCTGCCTTTTCTCTTGTTCCTGTCGCTGATCATGCGCCCCCCTCGCCTTTTCTCCTCCAGAGTACCCGTGTGCAGCTGACACGAGCTCTGAGAGCCACGCCAGCTCTGGAGGCGAACTTTATCCTTCGTCTTTGGACTCTCCACCTTCTTGAGCCATCATTTGTATTGGGTGTGCGCATGATTAAGGCCTTGGACTTGTGGCCAAGAGGCTCATGGCCTTGACCCACAACGCTCATGTTGCCATGTCCCGACTTCCCTATATCCCTCCAGCCCCACAGCCTTTTGATCGCGTAGCTACAGCGTGATCGAGCGTCGTCGATCACCCTCACTCCTTTCCCTCCTCCTTCCTTGCTCCTCTCCTCCCTCCCTTGCCTCCTTGCTGCTCTCATCCCCTCCTCTCTCCCCCTCTACCTTCCTTGCTTCTCTCCTTGCCCCTCCCCTCCTCTTTTCCTTGCTCCTTCCCTCCGCCCCTCCCTCCCTTCCTTTGGCTCCTGCCCTCCCTCCCTCCCTCCCTCCCTCCCGTCCTTAGTATATCTACGACCATTCGTAGATCTACGAACATTCTACGTGCAGTATTTTCCGTAGACTCGATCAAATCATTCTGGGGTAAATCAATTCTGTAGTCGATCTCTTTTTCGAGTTATCCTTCTTCTTATCTCTTCTCTGCCGAGGCGCTGACGACGACGAGGATGGCGGAAAGGCGAGGACGAACGAGGAGATCTTCTCGGAGGCTCGGCATGGGCGCTCGCGGGAGTCGTCCCGCGCCGAAGTTGTGCCCTGCTGTTTCTCGTCCTTCAGTCGGATGGACGGAAGAGCAACGGGACGAGGAGGCGGAAGAGAAGGGGAGGACTGGGGGAGGATCATGAGGTCCTACGTCTCTCCCTCCCCGGCTCTTCCCCCATCCTCGCCCCCTTTCCGCTTTCCATTCCCGTTTGCGGCTGGGTGCTCCTCATCTCCGTTCCTCGAGCGGCCATCCTGGATCGGGTAAGCAAGTGACTCTGTTCTGATCTGATTACTGTACTTTGGTTACTCAGCGGCTGGCTATGTCCGTTCCTCGCTGGTGGTTGCAGCCTTGTTCACGCAGCCGCACGGGTTGGTCAGTTCATTTTTTGGGCGTCCCGTCTTTTACTTCTGCTTGATCCGCGGATTGCAACCCACTGACGCGCCAGAGGAAGTGTGTGTGTGTGTGTGTGTGTTTGTGTGTGTGTGTGTGTGTGATTTCCCGTCTCCCGCATATCTCACCGCCCACCAAACCACCCCAACCCAACCCGAAGGCCCTGATTAGCCCTCCATTTCCAGTGGGGCGGTTCGGGGAACATAGAAAAAACACACATGAAGCCGGTACCCCCCCCAACCCGAAATTCGGGTCTTCGGGTTGGCTTGAGGTGGTCTGGTAGGTAGTCGATTTCCCTCGCGCGCTGTACATTTGCCGTCGCGCTGCTCCGAGCCGTTCGTCGTTTCTGGAGGACGGAGATAACATTAGCTCGGGCATGCCCCCCTACAGACGGATGTTGTACAAGAAATCCGCCGATCCGGCGTGTGCGTTCCTGAGAGCGTGGATTTGAGCTCGCTCAAGCTTCGCTCTGCAGGGGGGGGACACGTTATTTCCGACGTCATTTCCGACGTTTTGCGGTCCACGGGGACAGGGGGGTATAGAAAACTCCACTTCCGGAGCACCGACAGCTCGCCTGGGAGCGCCTGGGAGCGCCTGGGAGCGCTCGGGAGCGTGCCGAGAGCGCCTGGGAGCGCCTGGGAGCGCCTGGGAGCGCCTGGGAGCGTGCCGGGAGCGTGCCGGGAGCGTGCCGGGAGCGCCTGGGAGCGCCTGTGAGCGCCTGGGAACGCCCCGGGGAGCGCTTGGGAGCGTGCCGGGAGCGTGCCGGGAGCGTGCCGGGAGCATGCCAGGAGCGCTTGGGAGCGTCTGGGCGCGCTTGGGAGCGCCTGGAAGCGCCTGGAAGCGCCTGGGAGCGCCTGGGAGCGCCTGGGAGCGCCTGGGAGCGCCTGGGAGCGTGCCGGGAGAGCCTGGGAGCGTGCCGGGAGCATGCTGGCCGGGAGCGCCTGGGAGTGCCTGGGAGCGCCTGGGAGCGCCTGGGAGCGCCTGGGAGGGAGCGCCTGGGCCTAAGACACACCAACAGGCCCCCAAGAGGGTTCCAAGACGGCCCCAGAAGGGCCCAAGACGGCCCAGGAGCGCCACAAAACGACCCAAGTCCAGAGCCCAGTTCACTCTGCAGGGGAGGGGGGGGGGCGCACGTTATTTCCGACGTCATTTCCGACGTTTTTTGGTACCCGGGGACAGGGGGGTATAGAAAACTCTAATTCCGGAGCCCCGACCGCCCAAGACAGCCCAAGAGGAAGCCAAGAGAGGCCCAAGAGGCCCCCTAGACAATGCAAGAGGGCCCCGAATCGCCGAAACATCGCTCGAACCGCCCACGATGCCCCGAAGACAATTCCAGAAACCTCCACGACGTCCCCAGGATCCCTCACGACACTTCCCCAGAATGCCCAAAGACTGACTAATAGACCCATTCCCTTGGGAAAACGTAGATTTTCGGCATATTCGTTCCCAATGTCCAAGACGGACCTAGAGCTCCCTAAGACACACCACCAGGCCCCGAAGAGGATTCCAAGACGGCCCCAGAAGGGCCCAAGACGGCCCAGGAGCGCCAGAAGACGACCCAAATCCAGAGCCCAGACCGCACAAGACGGCCCAAGAGAAAGCCAAGAGAGGCCCAAGAGGCCCCCTAGACGGGATGCCCCCAAGACGGCTCCAGAAGCAGGGGGGGGGGTACGTT